TCACTGCTGTTCAAAGTGGTTTGTCAAATATATTATCACCTTGTTTTTTCGGCCAGTAATGTCTTTGATTATCCAGGTCGGCAGATTATGTGAGTTATATCACCACAGTGTGTGGGAGGGGGCGGCGGGCCGGGGGGGGATGGGGGGAGGCGGGCCGGGGGGATGGGGGGCGGCGGGCCGGGGGGGGATGGGGGGGGGGGGCGGCGGGCCGGGGGGGGAGGGTGGTTCAATGTAATCACCGTGTTTATATCTGTCAGTCGAGGTAATTTGGCATTGTTTAACCCCTCACTAAGGTAATTAGTGAGGGGGGGGGCAGTTACGTGACAATATCCAGAGGGTAGACGCCTCCCTGTTACCTTACTCTTCAGTAGTCCAACCACTTGGGCCGGACGGTAGAGCGACGGTCTCGCTTCATGCAGGTCGGCGTTCAATCCCCGACCGTCCAAGTGGTTGGGCACCATTCCTCCCTCCTTCCCCCCCCCCCTCTCCGTCCCATCCCAAACCCTTACCCTGATACCCTTCCAAGTGCTATATAGTCGTAATGGCTTGACGCTTTTGCCTGATAATTCCTTCCTTACTCCCGTACAGTCTTGGCTAAGGTCAAACATTAAGTACAAAGTTACATGAATTAACATTTAAATGAATTAACCCATGTATGTGATTGTATGGGGGGGGGGGAGGGGTTGTTTGTTGATTGTGGCTAGTTATTTTTAGTTTTTTTAAGTTTTATGCCTGTACATTAACCTTATTTCTGTTAATGGGATCACGGCCGGGCTCCCTCATATATCTTAAGATCTTCGTATGCCTTACAATGATGCGTTGTGATAACATAACATTAAATCAAACTGCAGAAGGGCAGGAGACCTCTTGGCCACTACGAGGCAGCTCCTCTTTATATCCACTCAAACTCTATTTTTTTATTAATACATGAGGTACATCTGCATTTGTGGAGCGACTATATGAAGTGGAGTACAGTGTGTGTCAAAAAGCTAACTCCGTGGTGCTAAAAAATCCCCATCACACAGGATGGTTAGTCATACAGAGGCATGTGATAAGCGGTCGTCACTGGCAGACTCTGGGTGCATTATGAAGATATCATCAACACAAGAGTGAATAAGGTTGGCAGTGATATTAAACCCACTCAAACTCGTTCATAGCAGTACGTCTAACCTACACATGAAACAACCCGGCGATCCCACGCATATTCTGCTGCCCGGCAATTTGTTCCATAGATCAACAATCTTGTTTCTAAACCAGTGTGACGCTGGGCAAGATAGTATTGAAGAAGAGTTGAAAATAAAAGTAAAATTTGGCATTTTTTTTTCCATCCCATCCTCCTGTTTAGATAGTAGTTTTTGTAACTATGTGCTCCATAGTACAAAAATTGACGTACTAAGCAATTAGATAGTAGATTTTTGTACTATTCACTTTATAGAGTCGGAAAAAATGAAGCTAAAAGATTAATATCCTAGGCCTATTATAGCTCTCAAAGGTACTATATTAGGCCTCAGATAACATGTATTAGGCCTAGGAAGGTTAGGTTAGGTTTAGCTTAGTTTGCCTTTGCAACATAATCTAGAAAATCGTTTTCCCGGTTTGTCCATATTCAATAGTACCGATTTCTACTTTCTGATTGCGTTGTACGTCGGTATATGTACTATAGTCGTACCATAGTACGACCATATATGTACCGTATATGTATGTATATGTATGTATGTATATGTATATGTATGTATATGTATGTATGTATATGTATATGTATGTATATGTATGTATGTATATGTATATGTATGTATATGTATGTATATGTATATGTATATGTATGTATATGTATACCATATATGACCGTATATGTACCGAATGTCCTCCCTATAAGGACTACCAAAACAGGAGGTTTGCCTGTTTTTCCTGTATTCCTTTTAAACCTTTCCTGTGAGAATTAGTCCTTGGATGTTGGACATTAATAAAAGATTTGTCGTATGTTAGTGATATTTACCGTCGCCGCTAATGGCGTTAAAATAAAGAAAATATATGTGTTCATTTTTCACAGCCAGCTAATGGACGCGAAATCGTTCTAACTGATTTTTAAAACCAGCCATTAGACGGTAAAGCAGGATAGCGAATTTTATAGCGAGCTAATGGAAACTGTTCTCTAATAATTACTCTTTTTTTTGGCGATCCGGGAACCTATGTAACACTGCGGGTGATCGACCTAGCGATCCGGGAACCTTTGTAACACTGAGGGTGATCGACCTAGCGAACCGGGAACCTTTGCAACAGGGAACCTTTGCAAAGGGATTAGTTTAATGAACTGGGAAACCTCGCAAAGGTCACCACCGTTAGCGCTCTCTAGGGCTCCCTCTCTAGGGCGCCCTCTCTAGGGCTGCCTCTCTAGGGTTGCCTCTCTAGGGCTGCCTCTCTAGGGCTCCCTCTCTAGGGCTCCCTCTCTAGGGCTCCCTCTCTAGGGCGCCTCTCTAGGGCTGCCTCTCTAGGGCTCCCTCTCTAGGGCGCCCTCTCTAGGGCGCCCTCTCTAGGGCTGCCTCTCTAGGGCGCCCTCTCTAGGGCGCCCTCTCTAGGGCTCCCTCCCTAGGGCTCCCTCTCTAGGGCGCCCTCTCTAGGGCTGCCTCTCTAGGGCTCCCTCTCTAGGGCGCCCTCTCTAGGGCGCCCTCTCTAGGGCGCCCTCTCTAGGGCGCCCTCTCTAGGGCTGCCTCTCTAGGGCGCCCTCTCTAGGGCGCCCTCTCTAGGGCTCCCTCCCTAGGGCTCCCTCTCTAGGGCGCCCTCTCTAGGGCTCCCTCTCTAGGGCTCCCTCTCTAGGGCTCCCTCTCTAGGGCGCCCTCTCTAGGGCTCCCTCTCTAGGGCTCCCTCTCTAGGGCTCCCTCTCTGGGGCTCCCTCTCTAGGGCTCCCTCCCTAGGGCTTCCTCTCTAGGGCTCCCTCTCTAGGGCTTCCTCTCTAGGGCTGCCTCTCTAGGGCTGCCTCTCTAGGGCTCCCTCTCTAGGGCTCCCTCTCTAGGGCTCCCTCTCTAGGGCTCTCTCGTTCGCTATTTACCTCGTTCTCTACCTTCGCTTGAAGCTTGTTCAACTTTCTGACTATCACACTTTTTAATATTCTCACAGTTCATCTGAATTTCTAATTTACACCAGTGCCCCCCCCCCCCCTCCCAACCAGCGTCCTGTTCACGTCCCCCCTTCCCTGACTTTTCCGTTCCATGAACCAATATTAGTGTACCTTAAGACCATTTAAAGTCCTGATCATGTCATCTTTAGCCTTTCTTTTTTTTTCTAGCGTTATTAGACGTACCTGGATTGTACCTGTATGGGGGTTCTGGGAGTTCTTTTACTCCCCGAGCCTGGCCCGGGAGCCTAGGCTTGACATGTAATAAGAGTTTGGTCCAACAGGCTGTTGCTGGGAGCGGCCCGCAGGCACACAAATCCACCACAGCTTCAACCATATCCAATACAGCCATATATATATATATATATATATATATATATATATATATATATATATATATATATATATATATATATATATATATATATATATATATATATATATATATATATATATATATAGCCTCGTTGTTCAGTTGTCTCGTGTTCAAGAACCAGTCGTGTAGCAAATGTTCAGACTTACTCCAGTTTAGCTTGGTGATCCGGCCGATGGGGAGGGGGAGGGGGAGGGGGGGAGCCGGATACGCTACAGTCCTGGTCTAACTTTGTTGGTGCACATCTTCTTGAAAGGTGTAGGTGCCTGGGGGGCTAGCCGGATGCTTGCCGGCTGTGAGAGGGACGACCCTGGCTGGCACGTTCCCCGCTCCTGTGTGTGGGTCGTCTGACATCCTCCTCTCTCGGCCCTCTTGCTCTTGCTCTCTTTTTGAACTTTGTACTCAAACACCAGTACACAATTGTGATCCACGGGGCCCTCGGTGGGGTCCCTAGGCTTCTGGTGGGGTCCCTGGGCTTCTGGTGGGGTCCCTGGGCTTCTGGTGGGGTCCCTGGGCCCCCGGTGGGGTCCCATGGATGGCCTAGTGGTATTTCGCAGTATCTTCTCTCCGTGCCTCGCCCCATTCAGGGCGAAGAGCAGGTTTGTGTCCAGTATTCAGCTCGTAAAGTTACGATATCCATCATCTGTGTTACTGTTGTGGAGTGCCGTTAGTGGAATGTTTTTGTTTCCCGTCTTTCCGTTGTTCAACCCGCGCCGTGTCGCTGTTGTTCAACCCGCGCCGTGTCGCTGTTGTTCAACCCGCGCCGTGTCGCTGTTGTTCAACCCGCGCCGTGTCGCTGTTGTTCAACCCGCGCCGTGTCGCTGTTGTTCAACCCGCGCCGTGTCGCTGTTGTTCAACCCGCGCCGTGTCGCTGTTGTTCAACCCGCGCCGTGTCGCTGTTGTTCAACCCGCGCCGTGTCGCTGTTGTTCAACCCGCGCCGTGTCGCTGTTGTTCAACCTGCGCCGTGTCGCTGTTGTTCAACCCGCGCCGTGTCGCTGTTGTTCAACCCGCGCCGTATCCGTTGTTCATCCTGCTCCTTGTTCATTAAACATGCGAGCCGTTAGGGATCTCTGGCACACACACACACACACACACACAATGACCCAAACTGTTCTCCTGTACGCATGTAAAACGCTTTTGTGGTAAAATTTAACTCTACTTAATGTCTCTCTCTCGCCAAAGGCAGAGAGCATTTTTTTTTTGTCCTGGGTTGCACTTCTGTTTTGTTTATGGAGCGACACTTTTGTGGGGTGTTACTCGGTTGGACTTTTTTGGTTTTGTTTTCGAGTGGTGAATTTTCTCGCGTCACAGTTTTTATGAATATTAATGAGGAGTGTTTTACTGGACGAGCTCAGAGCTTACGGGTAATGGTTCGTTTTTAGTCCACTTCTCTCGTCGCCTCCTGTCCATGTGGCCCTGTCGTAGCCTCCTGTCCATGTGGCCCTGTCGTAGCCTCCTGTCCATGAAGCCCTGTCGTCGCCTCCTGTCCATGAAGGCCTGTCGTAGCCTCCTGTCTATGCAGGTCTGTCGTAGCCTCCTGTCCATGTGGCCCTGTTGTCGCCTCCTGTACATGCAGGACTGTCGTCGCCTCCTGTCCATGCAGGACTGTCGTAGCCTCCTGTCCATGCAGGACTGTCGTAGCCTCCTGTCCATGTGGCCCTGTCGTCGCCTCCTGTCCATGTGGCCCTGTTGTCGCCTCCTGTCCATGTGGCCCTGTCGTCGCCTCCTGTCCATGCAGGACTGTCGTAGCCTCCTGTCCATGAAGGCCTGTCGTCGCCTCCTGTCCATGCAGGACTGTCGTAGCCTCCTGTCCATGCAGCTCTGTCGTCGCCTCCTGTCCATGTAGACCTGTCGTCGCCTCCTGTCCATATGGCCCTGTTGTCGCCTCCTGTCCATGCAGGACTGTCGTAGCCTCCTGTCCATGCAGCTCTGTCGTCTCCTCCTGTCCATGTAGACCTGTCGTCGCCTCCTGTCCATGTGGCCCTGTCGTCGCCTCCTGTCCATGCAGGACTGTCGTAGCCTCCTGTCCATGCAGGACTGTCGTCGCCTCCTGTCCATGCAGGACTGTCGTAGCCTCCTGTCCATGCAGCTCTGTCGTCGCCTCCTGTCCATGTAGACCTGTCGTCGCCTCCTGTCCATGTGGCCCTGTCGCCGCCTCCTGTCCATGTGGCCCTGTCGCCGCCTCCTGTCCATGTGGCCCTGTCGCCGCCTCCTGTCCATACAGCCCTGTCGCCGCCTCCTGTCCATGTGGCCCTGTCGCCGCCTCCTGTCCAGTAGACGGTGCCCCGACCTTGCAGCTACGGCACAAGAGGAAGTATTGACCTCGCCGCCCATCCAAGGTCCATATCCTCTGCTGTCATGATCTATAACTCTTAGACATGAATCATAGCTAGTTAATGGTCATTACTCTAAGGATTTAATTCATGGGGGGTAGCGTCTCGGCTCATGGCCACGGCGCCACGGTCAAGTTGCCACGGAACGCTGCCACGGACCATTGCCACGGCCAGAGTGGTCGGAAATGTCGACTCGTGCAGTTATTGGCCAGAAATTTGTCTTATCAATTTTACAATGACCCGCAACTATTGTTTGTTATGCATTTATTACCTTTCGTAAATTGCATTGGCTACACTGCGTGCTCTGTTATGGGGTCTGTGTGGCACAGTGGTGGTGGGTCTGTGTGGCACAGTGGTGATGGGTCTGTGTGGCACAGTGGTGATGGGTCTGTGTGGCACAGTGGTGATGGGTCTGTGTGGCACAGTGTTGATGGGGTCTGTGTGGCACAGTGTTGATGGGTCTGTGTGGCACAGTGGTGATGGGGTCTGTGTGGCACAGTGTTGATGGGTCTGTGTGGCACAGTGTTGATGGGTCTGTGTGGCACAGTGGTGATGGGTCTGTGTGGCACAGTGTGGATGGTTCCAGGGGTCCCTGTGGCACAGTACATTTTTTTCATTTTGCTAACACACTGAAGTTTGGTAATTGTGCACTTAAAATCTGTTGGTAAAAGTGGCCCTGCTGCTCCCCCCCCCCTTCCCCTCTTTTGTCTCTACCCTAGCCCCCTCTTCCTCTCTTCTTCCTCTCCTCCTCTTCCCCCTCCCTCTCTCCCTCCCCCCCTCCACTACCCCACACTGACATCATTAACAGTTCTGGTCTGGAGATAATTACATTACCAAGTTATCACAGGGGCGTTAATGCTCTTACCGAACCTTACCGTCTCCCTGTACTGTGGTTTGTGTCACTTGGACCCCGGGGGGGGGGGTCGTCTCCTCTGGACCCCGGGGTGGTGGGGTCTCCCCTGGACCCCCGGGGGGTGGGGTCGTCTCTCTGGACCCCTGGGGGGGGGGCACCATACAGCTCTGGCGTCGGGACACTCCATTTAATTCATGTTGATATAAGCGATAAACGGTGTCAGGAAGACATAAACATATTACAGCGTTACGATGTTGTTGCAGTGTCCGGGGGGGTGATGACGTCGCTGGCCTGGGCTTCAACATGTAACACAGCCAAGTGCCGGCGTGCACCAGTTGAGGCGTCTCGTGGGTCATCCGGACAAGCAACAGTGGTAGAGTAATTAGTACACACATAATAGGCCGCGGGAAGGAACGGCGCTTCTCTCACCCAGTTCGTTGTCATTTTCACCGACTCGACCAATCCGGTCCAATGAGACGTAATAGTTGAACTGTAATCACCTAAATATTGACGTTTTCTATGCTCTGATATCGATAGGGTAAGAGGGTTGCTTGGGTTTGTATGTGTCTGGTCAGGTAAAAATACTAACTTGTATTTTTATATGAGAGAGCCGTGAGTGGAGAGGAGTGAGAAGACATGATCACACCACAGCACAGATATGCTGTTTTTTTTTGTTTTTTTTTGCTGTGCGAAATTGCAAAATAACAACATACTGGAGCGAGTGATATGGTGTGAAATGCAGAATGGGCAGAGTGACGACTGGAGGTGCTATAAGGATAACCAGCGAGCAAGGATAACATGTCAGTGAGCCACGGATGTTCAATATACTCCCAGCTAATATAAGAAATATTGTCGGAACAAAGGTGGACAAGTTCCAGGATGAATTAAGACACGTTCCTGCAAGAAGTGTCCAACCACCCTGGTTATGTGGGGCTGCGAGCTGCCCCAAGCACCCCCACAGCCTGTTACTTGGAGTTATCACAAGTCAAGACCATACACCGGGCTCTGCGAGGAGAAGAACTCCTAAGAGTCCACTCCAGGTGTATACTCCAGGTGTTTACACACCCGCCTGGGTCTCTCACCCCCCCCCCCCACACACTCCGGCATCCAGACTCTGGCAGCATCATTCACCTAAATATTGACGTAAGGAGAGAGATCCCCACAAACCAAAATAAAGGCTGAGGTAAAACTGCTGTGATCCTTCACTGAGAGGCTGCGAGTTGGCCACAATCTTTGCTATTCACCTCGACACTGAATTCTTGTTAGGCGCTCTTGACGAGGGTAAGGAGCTCACACCCAGTTCACTTAACAGTTCACACCCAGTTGGAGGGTGTGGTAATGGCAGCGTGGCGTGGGGGGGGGGGCAGGAGGGGGTTGTGGTGAGGGGGAGGGGGATGTGGTAGTGATTAGAGGAGGGGAGGGAGAGAGGAGGGGGGGGGGATATAATGTGGCAAGGGAGAGTATTTGTGAAGGGAGAGTTGCTCATGGAGAACTCTTCATACACCAAGGGAAATGCCGTGAAAGAGACGAGTGTCATCTAGGTCCTTACATGCCCGCTTGGGAACTCTCAGTCCCAATGATCTCAATATATAGGCAAGACATCATCATCATTTTTCTTTAGGTCGCCTGACAATGGACAAACAACAGGGCTCCATCATAGAACATATAACTTGTACTCACAACATAAGAGGCTCCACAAGGAACAAGTGACTAATGAATGTTATGATCTCAGCCTACAGGAGAAACGAGTCTCCCTTCTTGAGAGTTATTCAGCAAGCCTGACCTAACTAGAAGGTCTAGCAAGTATTGAGGTGATAACGCATATGTAAAATAGTTGCTTGGATATGTATAACAGTTTGAGATTATGGGCAATGAAGGAGAAAACAGATAAATGACTGGCTAGGAGATGTGGACATTTTGCTGGAGGCGTGAGGCTCGCTTCCGGAGGACCTTGACCTCACTTGAGTGCCAGACATCGCAGGGGGAAGCCGCGCTCCGTTGAGCTCCTGTCAGAAGGGAACCCCTAGTGATATATCTCTAAGAGAAGAGAAGTGTGCAGACGTGCCAGCTGTGGAATCGAGCTGGGGACGTGTGGTCTCAAGTCGTGGACGATAATTAGTGAATATTAAGCCGCCCGGAGGCATTATTGTGGGCCGTGGGAGCGCCCTGACCAGACGCCGTCAGAGGGAAAGCGCCCTCGACCAATTAATCTGTGGTTTGTCTTTTGGGGAAGAAGTTGCTGAGAACTTCGAAGCCAGCAGATGATGTAGCTGATGAGACTCCAAGGTAGTGGAGCAGAGGACCTCGAGCGGTGAGGAGAAGCAGCAGTGAAGAGGAGTGTCACGTGCTTCTGTAGAGGTGGTGAAGCACCGTAGTTACTCAAGGAAACTTCATGATAGCAGCCTGGAGGAGCTGCAGAGGATCCTGGTAGTGAAGCCCGGAAGAACCTAAGGATATTAGGGTTGTGAACTTCCAGAGGTGGAAGGGGAAGTTCTGGTGGATTACTTGTAGGGAGTTGATAGTGTTTGGTTGTCAGTAGCGTGCAAGACGCAGTGAGAGGTGAGTGACTGTTTGCATTCTTATGTCAAGGAGTTTTTATACTGAAGTTTAGAGTTGCAGTCGTAGGCTTGATTACCTGCAGATGTATGTGCATGAGGACTGACAGTGATCGATTAATCATTGTTGTGTATCAGTGAACATTTATACTGATATATGTTATTGCATCCAAATGCTGATTTTCTATATATACATTATCTTGCTGATAGTGCAACAGTGTATGTAGGCTTGACCAACTTGAGGAGGTTAATAGTATCAGGTGGTGAACCAGGAGATAGGATACCACTGGATAAGCTGATAATAGAGTTCTGATGGTATTGGAGTGCAACCTGATTGTGATATTATAGAGTATAGGATTCATTATTATTATATGTGTGTATGTATCGTGTATGTGCTTTGTCCAGTAAATGTGTCAAAATTTGCTGGTGTTTGCCCTTGTCCTAGTGAGGCTTCCCAGGAAGTAGTGAAGAAGGAGAGAGAGAGAGAAAGAGCCAAGAACCACTGCTGTGGACAGGGTAAGAGGTAATACTAGTAAGTCCTAGGGGATTGAGGAGATCATATCTCATAAGGAGAGAGTGGGGAGTCACAGCGGCTCGAGTGGGTGTGTGCACGTGACAACGAGGCTAAGTGTTGGAGCCGCATCCCCTAAACGTGTGACGTTGAGCCCCTCTCCAAGAGCCAGAAGCGCCAAGGGTGATCTCCTAGTATAAGCACTCTGCCGAGTTGTGGGTTGGGTTGTCCATAGAGAAGGATCGACGACGACAACACCAACCAACCCACAGTCTATAATATGAACAAATCCACAAGGGCCGTGACGAGGATTCGAACCTGCGTCCGGGAGCATCCCAGACACTGCCTTAATCGACTGAGCTACGACAGGGTTAAAAGAGTTGAAACCGAAGTTCTACTGAACTTATTGGTCCCGCAGCCTCTCCGAGGCACAAACCAGGGTCGATTAAGGCAGTGTCTGGGATGCTCCCGGACGCAGGTTCGAATCCTCGTCACGGCCCTTGTGGATTTGTTCATTTAATGCATCACGTTAGTGTGATCTCTGTGTCTAACAAGTGACTAAGTATCTTTCTAATACGCCAGCTATGATATGAATTACTAGAAGCTAGTGTGATAACGTCGAAATGTGAGCACCAACAGCCTCAGTGATCAGGCTATCATGCCTGAAACTCTGGTCAGAAACATGGCTGCAAGAATTCTGACACAAACCTATTAAGAGCAAATAGTCCATAGTAATGGTGAGTACAAACTACCCCTTCCAAAGGTAAGTTCGAACAAGCTTAATTTTCCTAAAAATATGTTTTCAAAGCCCTGAAAGCTGCCATAAAGCGTGTTTAACACTCTGAACTCTCCTGTGAGGAGTTGGGCAGTAAAATATCACGGAAGATGAAAGCTAAGGAAATCTTGGATAATTTCTTGGATACTTTTCTTCACCTGTTTCAGAGACCATAAAACTTAGACTTGAAATTGAAGTCTGTTGGAGTTATTCAGCGACTTAGCGCCCCCTCTCCCCAGAGTGTGTGTGTGTGTGTGTGTGTGTGTGTGTGTGTGTGTGTGTGTGTGTGTGTGTGTGTGTGTGTGTGTGTGTGTGTGTGTGTGTGTGTGTTTAAGTGTAAGTGAAAGAAAGAAAGAAAGAGCAAGCAAGCTTGCTTGCTTGCTTGCATACATGTTTGTGTGGCTCTGAGATTCTTTTCAAGTGGGTTGACTTAGATACAAAAGTCTCTCTCTCTCCCTCTCTCCTGGTTTTAGTGTTAAACATGTCCGTAAGACTGTGAACCTTAACGTCACGAACCAAGTGAAACCAAACTCATTGGTCATAACAATGTCGTAATAACCTCTTTTTACATGGAAAAGCATATAGAATTTTTTTTAGCTAATATCGCCTCGGCTTCGAGTCAAAACCCTCCAGTGTTCATCCAAAGTCTTGTTCCTCGGAGCTGAAAATCCGTTTTCTTCAGACGATGTTTTCGCAAGCCTCGCTGTTAGGGGGCTGAAGAGGGGAGCGTTTCCCCCTGTATTTATACAGAGTTAATATTAATGGTGCAGACGGCATTGGGCAAACAGGCTGGTGGGTTGGCCAGCAGGTTAAGTGTACACCTTTATTTACATTCCTGTTGCACTGCTTCACTCCTTAAATATTCAGGTGGACTGCTGCTGCTGCTGCTGCTGGTGCAGGATGCTGGGGCGCGGCGCTCCCGGCCGCTTCTCATGCTCTTGACGCCGCGGGGGCGCTGCTGCTGCTGCTGCTGGTGGTGTGGTGGTGGTGGTGGTGATGCTAATGGTGGTAATGGTGATGGTGGTAGTGGTGGCTGCTGCTTCTACCCCTCTTGGGTGGTGTTCCAGCAGACACCTGGATGGTGTTCCAGCAGACACCTGGGTGGTGTTCCAGCAGACACCTGGATGGTGTTCCAGCAGACACCTGGGTGGTGTTCCAGCAGACACCTGGATGGTGTTCCAGCAGACACCTGGGTGGTGTTCCAGCAGACACCTGGGTGGTGTTCCAGCAGACACCTGGATGGTGTTCCAGCAGACACCTGGGTGGTGTTCCAGCAGACACCTGGATGGTGTTCCAGCAGACACCTGGATGGTGTTCCAGCAGACACCTGGATGGTGTTCCAGCAGACACCTGGATGGTGTTCCAGCAGACACCTGGATGGTGTTCCAGCAGACACCTGGATGGTGTTCCAGCAGACACCTGGATGGTGTTCCAGCAGACACCTGGGTGGTGTTCCAGCAGACACCTGGATGGTGTTCCAGCAGACACCTGGATGGTGTTCCAGCAGACACCTGGATGGTGTTCCAGCAGACACCTGGATGGTGTTCCAGCAGACACCTGGGTGGTGTTCCAGCAGACACCTGGATGGTTTTCCAGCACACAC